TTTTCTTATTATTATTATTTGGGTGTAAATAATTCTATAAGTTAATTACTTTTGAGAGTAGAATTTTATTCATTACACGTAAATTAAAATAATTTATAGATATCCATAAAATTAATTGAACTACGAAAAGAGTAATCCACTTTGTAATTAAGAGGGTCAGCGTGGGAGGGGGAGCTAGCTGCGGGCGGCATGCAACCACGAAAACATAGCTGGAGAGCACGCAAGTGACGCAACGTAAGATTCAAATTAATAAATAATGCCAGCTGCATAAGGGCGGACAGGGATGGATGCGTGTTGAGATCTTATAAACATAGCTAGTAGGACTAGTAGATAAGAAAAACGCGGGTGAATTGCCTTGAAGTTGCAGCACCGACGGAATCGCAAGGAAACGTTGGATAACACAGCGGTGCACTGGCGACTGGCGTGGCTGTAGCAGATAGATATCATCGTCGTTTTCTTCTCATCTTTTTCATTCATAAATAGTATAAAAGTGAAAAGTCAACTTTCAACATTGACGTTTGCTGGATTTTTGGTGTATATGCTACTACTCCATTAGTATGGGGTTGCATATGTTTGTCTCTCTCCCTTTTTTCTTTTTTCTTTTTCTTTTTTTTTTTTGGGGGGTCAAAATAGACTTCAAGTTCACACCTAATTTGTGTTTGTGCTTTATCTGTCTTCGTATTTTTTATGATGTCTTTTTTCTATTGATAGAATGTCAATATATATCCATAATCTTGTAGTATTACTTTCCCAACAAGGGAGTTTTGCTTTTCAATTTTTCAAAATAACTATAAAGGAATATTTTCAAAATATATACATATATGTGCCAAGGTTGAATCACTACAAGAATACACAAAATTACCGATGAAATACCATGTCGGAAATCAGGAGGGAGTTTGTCGGTAAATAAATTTTCCAACTTATACGTTGTCGATAATACACTTGTCGGTGTTGGCTTCCTCGGTAATAACTTCACCGATGTGAGATGGAGTTACGTCGGTAATTTGGTCCAAATTACCGACAAAACACATGTCTCAAAACAACTACCAGAACCGTACTGCCGGAGCTTCTCACGTAAGTCAAGGTGTCAATTACCGACGAGTTTCACGTCTCTAATTGTAGACCTCGTTTACTGGGTCCCTGTGTTACCTCGTTTATTGCATCCAGTCAGCATGTCAGTAAGTTACCGACAAAGAATTAATCGGTAAGTTGGTTTAGAAATTTGTAAAAGAATTGCCGATTTACAAGAATTAATTGTTATTTACCGACAAACTTCCAATCGGCAATTACCAAGGAAAAAAAAAATTTTGCATTTTACCGACAAACAATTAATCGGTAAGTTTGTTTAGAAATTTGTGAAAGTATGGCCGATTTACAAGAATTAATTGTTATATAATTTACCGACAAACTTCCAATCGGCAATTTTGCATTTTACCGACAAAGCTTTAATCGGTAATGTGGTTTAGGAATTGAAAAAAAAAAAGAAATTTACACCATTCCCCTTTTTGCAACGAGAAAAAAAAAAGTATATAATTTAGTTAAAACCAAAAAACTGTTAATATGAAATAATAGTATTACCGGCCATCTAACACATAAGCAATAAAATATATATACATATTTAATAATGAATGTCTGTCAAACCAAAAAGATTATGGGATGATCAATCTTAATTTATAATAGTTAATATTATAAAAAATAAATATAAATAT